GAGTCTTTACCAGGGGGAATGGGAAAAGGTTGTCAAATTCTGTTTATTTATTTTGGGGGTAGAACTAAGGATTAAAGCTTCACTTAATTCCCCCCCATGTGCATTATTAATACCGTTGTTTTGACTTTGTATTGTATCTTTCTGAAAAGTACCAAAAGTGTTTTAAGTTGAACGTTGTGGTGCTAGAGTGTTGGGTGTTTACTCTGAATACATTAAAAAATGCTGGGATGTTCTTGAATGAGTTCTTGAATGGTCATGTGCATTGTTGTTGTTGTTGTTGTTGTTGTTGTATTATTCACTAGATTTCAATCCTACTTTGTCTCTAAGGCGCTCAAGGTGGTGGCATACAGGGTCCCCCCCCCTCTACTTTATCCTCACAGCAACCCTGTACAGAAGGTTAAGCTAAGAGACAGTGACTGGCCCATAGTCACCCAACGAGCTTCTCCCAGGTCCTAAACCAACACCCTAACCACTAGACAACATTGGCTCTCTACTCAGCCTATCCAAGATCCTATGTACGTTTACTTGCACCATCAAATTCAATGGATTTGTGTTGGTTTTTTTTAAATCCTGGGGTGCACTCTAACTTCAGCAGGTTCATGCACCGTGTCATTATTTTAGATTTCCCTTCCAGCCTTAATAGCTTGCATGGCAGCTTTTGGCCCACATCCGAAAGTCTCGGGCTGAGACCGCTTGTCCTCTTGTCCCTTTGTGCTGTCGACAGAGGCTCCTGCATTCAGCCAAGCTGTGATGTAGGGGTGAAGAATACCTATGCTCGAAGGCTCAGCCAATCCAAATCACACCCTTTCTACGGTTGACTCCTCCCTTTCTCTATACTTAAATGTAGAATTTGGAAACATCCCTTAATTCCCCATCAGTTCCACAAGAGATGAAATCTGTCAACATGGAGCAGGACTGACCAGCTGGCCACTGGTCAGAAAGAAGGGGGTCAAGGAAAAAGATCAATCTCCGCAGATTCTGGAGCTGCACATTACCTGGCCTTATTTCCAAAGTGCTCAGTTTCATTTGTGATGAACAATTTGGCTGTGTTTCTATCCTGTTTTCATGCTATTGTTGTGGGGTTGTTGTTTCCCAACCCCCTCAGCAAACTGCTTAGAGATTGGTTTGTTATATTAAGCAGTGTAATTTTTAAGATAAATCAACGGGAAATCAATATTTTAGGGCAGGCTTTCTCATCCTCATGCCCTTCAGATTTGTTGGACTATAGCTCTCACCATCCCTGACAACTGGCCAAAATGGATGGGGCTGATGGGACGTCCATCAATTTCTGGAGCCCCACAGGTTGGGGAAGGCTGTCTTAGGAATTCTTGATTGTCCCATTTTTAAAAAAAACATCCTGGTGCAAATCCCAATCCCATTCTCCTGTTAGGTCTCATTCTCCTCCCACGAACTGGCTAGTCCTTATTTCAAAATTCAATGCAAGCAGATATATATAATCATTTCCCATCTTGTAACAAAGCTTGTAACTTTTATAGATGCAATTTCTCCTAAAATAAGCTGTTACAGGAACACATTGATATCAGAGGTTTGTTAAACATGTGTCAGAGAAATCTTGCGATTTTCGTTTGTTTGTTCTAAGGCTCTGGTTGTCCTATCTCTTTAGGCATACAGCAAAGTCAATAAAAATTATGTATTAAGGTGGGGTTTGAAATTCTATTTTCATCCATTTTAATGATTTTTTACAAGCTGATTGCATTTCCTCTCTTCATTCCTTGACACGAGTCAATAGATATCCAATGTAAGTGTAGTTCATTTATATCTGAATTGATGATCTGTCCCCCATTAGCTTGTGTTTCTAACACATTCTGATGCATTAGTAAATAGGCTTGTCTGATTAATCATTAGTACACAAAGAGAATTAGCCATCTAGTGCCAAATGGAATTATTGACAATGATAATAAAACCCAGATGCTGTAAGACCCGGAAGCTGAAAATTGCATTTGTAAACTAAATTTGAATGACAGGGAGGCTGCTTGGTTTATACATAGGATGAAAAACATATTTTTCGCACTTGATCCCTCTTATTCAGTGTCTGTAACTCTGTGTGTATTTTATTTTTTCTAAATATATTACAATTATATCCCACCCTTCCTCCTGAAGTAGCCCAGGGCAGTAAGCACGAAAAATTTGAAACAATGTGAGTAAAAATAAATTAAATTAAAAGCATCTAAGATAATCTCAGACTAGTTAAAAAGAATCACATGTCTTCACAACTAATAAATCCAAGGTTGCAAGGAAAAGTATCTTTCAGCCATCAAACCCCTAGGTGGACCAGATTTTTTTTTTTTAAGTTTCTTCTCTGGAATGTTAATGACGAAGGCAGACATACAGGGGTGCCCCGCAAGACGAATGCCTCGCAAGACGAAAAACTCGCTAGACGAAAGGGTTTTTCGGTTTTTGAACTGCTTCGCAAGACGATTTTCCCTATGGGCTTGCTTCGCAAGACGGAAACGTCTTGCAAGTTTGTTTCCTTTTTCTTAACACCGTTAATACAGTTGCGACTTGACTTCGAGGAGCAACTCATAGAACGCGGTGTGGTAGCCTTTTTTGAGGTTTTCAAAGACTTTGGTGATTTTTGAAGCTTTTCCAAAACTTTCCTGACACCATGCTTCGCAAGACGAAAAAAATCGCAAGACGACAAAACTCGCGGAATGAATTAATTTTGTCTTGCGAGGCACCACTGTACTTCACACTACATGTATACAGTGGTACCTCGGGTTACATACGCTTCAGGTTACATACGCTTCAGGTTACAGACTCCGCTAACCCAGTTCGGTATAAGAACTTTGCTTCAGGATGTGAACAGAAATCGTGCTCCGGTGGCGCGGCAGCAGCAGGAGGCCCCATTAGCTAAAGTAGTGCTTCAGGTTAAGAACAGTTTCAGGTTAAGAACGGACTTCCGGAACGAATTAAGTACTTAACCCAAGGTACCACTGTACATGCATGTAGCATTACTTGGAGTGTGCAGAGTTAATAAGTCAAGGAGGCCTCATCTTCGTCCCAGAGGCAGCATGGGAAAAAGTAGATTCTGGCAGTCCTTTGTGTAATTGATAGGATGGCTGTCAGTAGTTAAAATTGCTAGGCTTCAGTTGTGCTTTATATTACAAGTTAAGTTCCTTTAGTAATAGTTCCTGTTTTTAATGGAAGCATGAGGATACCTCTGTTTCTTTGTTATCATATCCTCCAACATTTCTCTGATGAAATTAGGGACAATTAAGAACAACAAGAACATCATAATAATAATAATAATAATAATAATAATAATAATAATAATTGTGGACTTCTGGTTGGTCACTGTGAGAACAGGATGACAGACTAGGTAGGCCTTTGGCCTGTTCCAGCAGAGCTATTCCCATGTTCTTATGTTTGAATCCTGACCCTAGTATAAAATTTAAATGTATTTCCACCATGTGATCCACATGTCAAACAGTCCAATCATTGGACTTCCAGGAGACTAAATCATTAAATTGGGCCTTCTCTAATATTTCACAAATTCATGCCTTTGGAGTTGCATTAATTTGATCATTTCTAATGTGCTCTTATATTTCCCTGTTATCCCCCCCCCTAAATTATACAAATATACCAACATTATTCAGACACTTTGTTTCGTGTGCCCTTAAATGTGTTATCCATATTAAGAAAAGCATGGCCACATCATTTATCTTGCTTTCTGAAACCATTTATATAATACCACCCTACAATGATTTTGCACAAAAAACAACAATAAAAAGAAAAATTTGCATCATGTAATGTCTTGAATGTTGCAGGGTCTTCCTTCCATAAGTCAGTGAGACATACCCAACAGGGTCACCGTTCTATCATTTAAAGCTATTACCCTACTTTGCTGTTGTCTGACCCACAAGATTTAAAAGCACTCTGGCAAGATTGCCAAATACATTAAAGTTAACTAAATGATAGCGCCATGCTGCCTATCCCACCAAAACCTTGTGAATTGCTTAATTATTGTTTAATGCATTTGCTTTTTCCAGAGGCACTGAAATCCATATAACAACATATTCTGCAGAAGGCTGATGAGAAAGCTGAGCATGAGATTCCACCCCACCAACACAGCAATTTACCTTCCAGTATATACAGAGATGATACAAAGATACCAATAGAGATAAATAAAAATGTGATATATAGTGTGATCATTTTTAATAAAAAAATGGCTGGATTCCTTATAGGGATGGCTTCAGGACTTAGGGAGGCAGCTAGTAACAGACTATCAGTAGACTTCCTTAAGTGCCAAGTCCTTGGGAATTAGTCTTCTTCTGAGCGACACCATTGGTCCATCTAGCTTGTGTACACTGGGTAGCAAACATGGTGACTTCCAGAAGTGTATTACAACTCCTATCCTCCCTGAATCCTCCCTATCCTAATCCTTTGTATCCTCCCATGCTGGCTGAGATAGATACAAGTCCATCAACATCTGGAGGGCCAGAGGTTCCTCACCCCTGGTCTTTAGAAACTGGAAAGGCAGTCCCCTACCCAGATCTGTCATCATTGAAATGCACCTCTAAATTCACCTTTGGGTCTTGTCAAGTTGAAGTAGCCATAAAATGGTCCTTCCAATGTTGCTAGACTGCAGCTTGACTGGCAAGCACCCTACCTTTCATTCTACAAATCATCTGACCAGTGGTCCACACTTCTCAAGTGCCTGTGCTCTTTCTGGAGTCAGATAACATGGAAAAGAGCATGAAAAGCACACCACATCCCACTAGTTTTCCAGAAGTGGATTTGGTGTCATGTGAAAGGTGGAATACAATGCAGATATTAACAGGGAAAAGTCAGGGAAATGGAATAAACTTCTCTATGAACGCATCCCAGGAAATACCGGCATGCAAAATTTTGGGGCACCATGGAATCAAAAGGGAAGCTCAAAACCCCAAACCTCCTGAAATCATATTAAAAAAATTCTCAGTGCCCTGAAAATGTGGCAGAAAAGCAGAAGCTACTTTCTCAGAGGAAACAAACTTCTATCCTGCTGGGATAGCTCAGTCGGTAGAGCATGAGTCTCTTGATCTCATGGTGATGGGTTTGAACCCCATGTTGGGGGAAAGTATTCCTGCATTGCAGGGGGTTGGACTAGATTACCCTTGTGGACCCTTCCAGCTCTACAAGTATATGATTCTGAGAAACTTGAGTACAGATTTCGGCACAGCACTAGGTTCTTAACACTCATTTTTGTTACTGACACGACAAAACTATTTAGATTCCTTGGTGTTCCACTTCTACGACAGCCAGGGCCACCTTTACCCAGGGGTGCAGGGCACCTGGGTGCCAAATTCTGGGGGGCACCGGGTGCCCGCCACTGAAGCCGCCTAAGCTCTTAACTATCTACCTCAGGGACGTCCAACCGGTCAACTGTGAACGGGTCATTTCCATTGTCTTTTGTGGAAGAGCTGCAGAATCACCACCCCTAGTGGTGTCTTTCATTTTCGCATGATCGCAAAAATGGAAGTTGGAGTTATCATTGCAACTTTTTATTTTTTCATGTTAGCAGTTTTCGCTGTTCCCCTCCTTAAAAGCTGAACAACTTAGACTTGCGCTCCTAAAAAAAGCTGAACAAAATGGGGGCTCTGGGCAGATCTTTGCACCCTGGTGGCGCTTATGCTAAAGACGTCCCTTACAACAACTCCTTAAATAGTACTCAAACTTGTCTTGTTCCTCTAAGAAAAAATATTTCAAGTCTCCATAAGCCATTGAGATGTTGGCCTGCGCAAAGCAAGCGCCACAAGTACCTCTACTGTTTCCACTTCAATGCCCTTCTCTTTTCAGTCCGTAGAAGCAAAGCAATAAGAGAGCCATTGTCCAATGAGAAATATTAAAAATGCATGTTATATTTTGGTTTCTCTAACTGGATTCTGGGAAGCAAATAATGCTAATAATATATTTTCAGCATGTCTCTTAGCAATTACTGTATATTATGTAAACATACAGTAAATCTCCAACTGAAGAAATGTTGACCTGAAATAAGCTTACTTTTTAATGGAGAATCGCTGGCCTTGTTAGGCCTTTCGACTGGCCTTCAGATCGTGTTTCTCTTAGAAGCATGCTACATGTTACATTTTGCACCTGGAATGCCATTCAGTTGACCCTGTAATTTTCACGGTTATTGGAAGGCTTCCTCCCTTCAGGCAGATGAAGTTCAGCTCTGTAACCCCATTCAAAGCTTCAAAAGATGGTCAATGAAAGCAGGATTTGCTGTTGTGCTGAAGAAGAGCCTACATGTATACTGCTTCGCTGACACCTTCTGTTGAATTTTTGGCAGACCAAAGCATCTGAGACCCTCTCCTGGCAGTAAAAATATAATTCCAAGTTATCTTCGCATGAGGCTCACAATGATAAATGACAAAACTATCAGTGGCAGTAGTGATGTATGGAAGTGAGAGCTGGACCATAAAGAAGGCTGATCGCCGAAGAATTGATGCTTTTGAATTATGGTGCTGGAGGAGACTCTTGAGAGTCCCATGGACTGCAAGAAGATCAAACGTATCCATTCTTAAGGAAATCAGCCCTGAGTGCTCACTGGAAGGACAGATCGTGAAGTTGAGGCTCCAATACTTTGGCCACCTCATGAGAAGAGAAGACTCCCTGGAAAAGACCCTGATGCTGGGAAAGATGGAGGGCACAAGGAGAAGGGGACGACAGAGGACGAGATGGTTGGACAGTGTTCTCGAAGCTACAAACATGAGTCTGACCAAACTGCGGGAGGTAGTGGAAGATAGGAGTGCCTGGCGTGCTCTGGTCCATGGGGTCACGAAGAGTTGGACACGACTAAACGACTAAACAACAACAGTGGCACATGCAGCCTGCCTCTTGACTGTGCCCAAAGGTAGGGCCATCCTCAACAGAGAATTATCTTGTTTTACTACAATAAATTGATAGAAAACAGATGCCAGAGAAAAAGTGAAGATTTCCCTCTTCAGTTCAAGGAGAGCAGGAAGCATGAAGATGCAAACAAACATACATTTTCAAAAGAAAGCAAAGCAAAAATATTCTAAAACACTGAAAGAGTTACAACTGAAAGCCTCTATCCAATGATCTTGAGGTTGCTAGGAATAGTATGTTTTAGCCATGCCATCAAATGCCTGTGTAAATAGGATCATTTTAAAATTCCTCCTGAAAGTTGATAGAGACAGGCACACCTCACCAGGGAGGGTAGTACACAGCTGGGGAACCACCACTGAAAAGGCCCTGCCACTGGCCATTGCCTACTGGGCAGCCCCTGGAGGTGGTATGGTTACTATTGGGGAAGGCATTATTTTAGGTACCATACTTGGGTGCCAAGCTATTTAGGGCTACATATTCCACACCAAATAGGTGCAGTTAGGATGCAGCGGTCTTCACCATGGATAGTGCAATGACAAGCTCAAGGCAGGCAACACTTCTGTGCTAAGGAAATAATTTGAGTGGATGTGGATTTCATTACAAGTCACGCAGGTCAAGCAGACCTAGAATGAAACGGCTGAAGGATATCTGCTCCATATTTTTAAACGGCTTGTTGAGAAGCTGCTTTGAGTTTAAAACGAGTATTTATTATTATTATTGTTTTTAAAAAAGCTTTACCTTTTTTCATTAGAAAAGGATTAGTATTTTATTTTATAAGCCCTGCCAAACTATTTATAATGGAATGGAAATGGAGGGCCGATGGCCCTTTAAGTGGTTTTTACATATTGCGGTGTAAAGGGTTTATACATTATTTATGAGGCATTGGTACATTACTATAGAATGTTTAGGCCTCTATTACTCCTTATAACTCACTGACAGGGAACCTTTAAACTAATTTCTTCCCCCCCTTATCATACCAAATTACATAAAAGTATCCGGTATATATGTTTTTCCCTTCTAAATTCCCTCCGTGTACAGCGGCACGACGTACGGACACCCTAGAGATATTAAACAGGTGATAAACGTTGACGGTGATTGTGTTTTCATTCGGGGCTTTTTATGTCCCTGAAACAAAATATTAATTTGACTAAACCCATAAGAAAACAAAACAGAAAGCCCGTGCATGCTTTTATAATGTTTTATATATCCATTAACCTAATACAACCGTATAATTTGATACTCTGGAAAAGTCTTGAAGAATATTAATTCTGAAGAAATGCGGGAAGTCACGTGATGTGGTTTGGGGAGAAATATATTCTCCATAGATTTGATTCTGTGCAAATGTTATGATGGTATTGCCTAAATGCCATCTAATCAACCATACAAAATGAGAGGAAAGATTATTATTCAGTGCTTTGCTTTTGGAGTGGGAGGGGGGAAAGATACATTGCTGCAATAACCCTCCACAGATGGCCGCTGTTGCACTGAAGATCAGCAGCAGCCACTGGGGTAATAGAGTGTGTAGGGAGAAACCACCACTGTTGATAGTGGGTGAGAAAAGCCTATGCGCTTAGCTCAGGAAGGATGAGTCATATAGGTTTGGTTGGCACATGCTTACCTGGGAAAGGGGTGTTTTGGCTTAAAGACAAATGGCACCTGGAAAGCTGGGAACTACAGGGCACAAGAACAGAAGAAGAGCATTCTGGATCAGGCCAGTGGCCCATCTAGTCCACCATCCTGTTCTCAGAGATGCCTTTGGGAAACCAGCAAGGAGGACTTGGGCACATCCACACTCTCCCCTCCTATGGCTTCCAGCTGGCATTCAAAAGTATTATTGCCTCCAACCATGTAGGCAGAGGAAAACCATCATGGCTAGTGGCTGGGTCTGAGCTGAAATGTCCCTCCTCCTGTCATTTTGCCATTCCAATTGAAATTGGAGGACACATTTTAATGACAAAGGCTGAAATGGGGGCCTTACCAGCAGATATTGCATTTCTCTCAGCAGCTGGAAGTTGTCATCTTTTTCCTCCTGCAGCTTTCCACAGAACCTTGCAATATAATCATAGAACATCGTTCCAAAGAGAATTGTGTGTGTGTGTTGGCAGCTATCAACTGCTAAGCAGAGCACCATTGATGGGAAACATACTACCCCTGCTTTTCACAGTCTATTTTTAAATATCAGAAGACATTTTGAGTATTGTTATGGAAAACAGCAACAGGATAATGTCATTCAGATATAGATATAAATTAAAGACATAAATTTTGTCAGAACCACAATCCTAACAAGCACAATCATTAGCAGTCTTCCTCTAATGGACAAAGACCCTAAGAACATAAGAAGAACCTGCTGGATCAGACCAATGGCCCATCTAGTCCAGCATCCTGTTCTCACAATGGCCAAATGGATGCCCACGGAAAACCTGCAAGTAGGACCCAAGTACAAGAACCCTCTCCTCACATGCAACTGATATTCAGAAGCATTACTGCCTCCAACTGTGGAGACAGAGCCTAGCCATCATGACTAGTAGCCACTGATAGCCATTAGAGAAAAAAAGCATTCCATTCATGGAAGGGAACTTTGGCTCTTACTCTGGCTTGTCTCCAATTCAGGTTTTTTGTTTGTTTGTTTGTTTTGCAAATTCATTTTAAAAAAGAAATCTATTGCATTTTCCCCACAGGAAAGTCTTGCAAAGAGAGAGAGAGAGAGAGAGAGAGAGAGAGAGAAGAAGAAGAAGAAGAAGAAGAAGAAGAAGAAGAAGAAGAAGACTGTGCTAAGGTAGAAACTCCCTTTCTTCTGAAGAAATCCATGGTATGCTTGTCCAAACATTCAGGGCAGAAAAATTGGAAGACCAGATGCTATAACTGTACCTTTTTTTCTTTTTTAAAGGAAGGCATTATATGTAGCCAGCTGTCCCATGTACACTCAGATTTGTATAACAGGCTGTGGATGTAGCCTATATCCTAATTTGTTTGCAACATCTGTTCATACTTGTCCATACATATATATATATATATATAGAGAGAGAGAGAGAGAGAGAGAGAGAGAGAGAGAGTTATTAATTACTTGGAAGGGGCTTGCACAAAGAACAAGGCTCTTCTGTCTTGTGTACTTTCCTGAATGTTTTCCTAAGGAAAATCATGTTATAATGTCCGTTTAAAGAAAATAAACAGCTTGATGTTTTCTGCACAGGTTGAGATTACACATAATAATAAAAATCTGACATGCA